TCAACATGTGTGTGCTTGGAGCAGGACGTTCTTACCCCCAACCACCCCCTTCCCCCCTTCCCACCCCATCCCGCCAACCTCTTGAAACAGTTGGCCCCGCGATCAAATAAAGGCGTGTAGGGTACTGCTACTACTACTACTACTACCACCACCACTACTACTACTGCGGCCACTACCACTGCCACTACCACTACCACTACCACGACTGCTACTACTGCTACTACTACGACGACGGCTACTACCACCACTACGACGCCGACGACGACTACAACCACCATCCACTTCTATGTCTACTTCTATACCTCTACTTCTTCTTATTGTTCTTGTTTTTGTTTTTCCACCACACCACCGCCGCTGCCCCCACCATCGCCTCGCCACCACCACCCATCCCATCGCCACCGCCGCCGCCACCGCCACCACCACTGCCGCCACCACCGCCGCCGCCGCCATCGCCACCGCCACCGCCACTGCTATACCGTCGCCATTTGTGCCGCCACCGCCCCCGCCAGCACCAGCCGCACCAGCCGCACCAGCCGCGCCAGCAGCACCAGCAGCAGCAGCAGCAGCACCAGCAGCACCAGCAGCAGCAGCAGCAGCAGCACCAGCAGCACCAGCAGCAGCAGCAGCAGCAGCAGCAGCAGCGGCAGCAGCCGCCGCCCCAGCCCCGGCCCCGGCACCGGCACCCGCGCTGCACCAGCACCATCACCAGCAACCATCAGCACCACCAGCGCCAGCGCCAGCGCCAGCGCCAGCGCCAGCGCCAGCGCCAGCGCCAGCGCCAGCGCCAGCGCCAGCGCCACCGCCACCGCCACCGCCACCGCCACCGCCACCGCCGCTACCACCACTACCACCACGCACCGCCATTTGCGAAAGCATGGTTTTGGCATTGTCGGGGTCGCCCCCATGATCAGGAGCTGTCGCCGGTCCAGGCACCACTTTCTGTCGGACTGTCGGCAGGCTACATGTCCGGCCCACAGCGAAGATTCCGGTAGCATGATGTCCTACGATTTGCCGCCTGAGAAAGCGAATCGCGGAACACCTTTCAAGCGAAGTCCTTGCGTTGTCTTGAGACAAGGACTGATGAGCAACCTGCTTCTGACCCAGTCGAGACACCGGCACCGTGAGGTGCCCAGTAGGTGGAGATAGGTGGAGGGCAGACAGGAACGGAACAGAAATGCTCTGCAGCGACCAACGGTGCTGGCGCTTTGACCGAGGTCTACCTTGACTGCAAAGGACCCTTTCTCGGGCTCCTCCAATGATGCTGGCCCGCATGAAACTTTAGCAGTGCAGTGCAGAACGCTTTTGCCCACTTTTGCTACCATTCCAACACGTCCCAAGGAGTGGCTCGAGAAGTTCACGTTCAGATCTCAGATCCTGACAGGAGCACATCACATGCATAGCCGGCATAGTTGCTTATGCCGTGCATGGCACGGTCGACATCGTAGATTTGTTGCTTTGAAGGCATGACCAGTCGGTCAAGACGGGTAGTGGAGACGGCGAGCCGGGCGCTCGGTCTTGAACAGCAGGGTCGTCTGCACAGCGACGGTGCTGCGTGATTGTGCAGGCTTCCAGCAACAAGTGTCTTCAGAGGCTCGGTTGAAGCTTATGTCCGCTCTGTTCTGCCATGGATGCAGTGACCACCCTGAGGAGGCAACGACTCACAGCTGTCCAAGGTTCCGGGTGCCGGTTGATGCCTTTGCAAACCCTGTCCTTCGACCAATTTTGTCACTCTGCCAGAGACGGAGATGTACCCCGTCGCTGATAGTTGGATAGACTCATGTTCTCGGGTCGAGGACATCATTGATTGGCCAGACTGGCACAACCCTCACTCTGCGAAATCTCTGCAGTCCTCGGAGTCGGAGGACGGGATTGTTAGCTCAAAGCTTGGGGGTCAGACCAAAGCCAGGAGCCAGTTTTCCCAAATGGAACTTATTTGGATGAGTTGCTGAGCCTTGACAGCCCCGGATTCACATGTTCCAGGAGGCTCGAACCCAGCAATGTCAAACGCAATGGTTCAGAAGACCACAAGACAAAGGACCACTGCCGCACTACAACGGTGAGCTGCATCGATGGTGGACAATTCGAAAAGTCGTTTCAGGCAACAGGTGATGAGCTGCAAGATACACCCACAGAATCCTTTAACTTTCCCTCAAAGATTGAGCTGCAGAAAATCCAGCGGTCCGTGCTTGGCTCATTTGACCTAGTTTCACACGTGGATGACCCTGTGGCCTTTTCGCTCCGGTCTGCTTGACGGCGAAGGCGAAGGGGCATGCAGTCTTCCCTCAGCTCCGTCGACGTCGTCTTCTAAGCCCACGCTGGTCGGGTTGACCCACCTTTGTAAGGAGTTCCTGGACTACAACCCAGTGGACCCAGATGAACGTCTCACTTGGTCCTCGGTCCCGTCCCTGCGCAGTGTCTCTCTGAATCACCAGGTTACTTCTGCACCCGTTGGGGATGTCCTGGTGCAGCCACACCGGTGATGCGGATGCTGTTGTCTTTGTTCGCCGTGGTCCCCGTCCCTGCGCCCTGCTTGGACTTGTTTTCGGGCGCATCGGCCCCGGGCTCTGGCGCTCTCGACCCAGTCCATTACCATTGATCTGTGGTTCGGCCGGAGCGTGCCTCTTACATGACCGGTCGGGAGTAAACGCTGTAAACTGAACCAGGGGGTTGTAAGATGAACCTTTGTTTCAGTAACTGGCTCGAAACTGCTTCCGATACCAGGCCCGCTGTAACTGGAACTGGGGGGAGGCCTGCAACGCTTGTAACAGGAACTGTCTCTCCAACTCGAACATGTGCCGTACACTCGCCTCTTATTACCCACTTGAGGGTGTAGGGCTTAGGGTTTAGAATATTGGTTAACCATAAGTAGACGATGACTTATTCGAATTCCTAGTGAAACCCTAATACCACTGGATTAGGAGTAAGGGTTTAGGTTTTTTTGGTGTTGGGGAGATGGGTTCTGGGGGGGAGTGTGCGGATGGAGCAAAAGAGCTTTCATGATAAGAATCGATGAGTCTTGAAGGGGGCGTGGATTTTTGGGTTTGGGGTTGAGGGTTTCGGGAGAGGAGAGAAGAGGCGAGGGAAGAGGCAAGGAGCAGGAAGGGGACCGGAAGTGTGTCTTCAGGTTTAGGGTTTAACGGCTACGGTAATAGGGTTTAGGGTGGAGGTTTAAGGGTTCAAGGTTTGGGCTTCTACAGCGTAGGGGCTGGGTTTCCAAAGGCCTTTCAAGGTCTATAGAGCGTTTATAAAGGGCTTCTGAGGGTTGTTTCTCATCAGGGCTTGCAAGGCTTTCAAAGCTCTTGTAAAAGGCTTGCACGGGTGCCCTTTGAGGTCATAAGGCCGTCTTTTAGGGTTGTAAGGGCTTCTAAATGTTTTCGAGGGCTTATAAGAGCTTGCGAAAGGCTTTTAAGGGCTTCATGGGCTCCGGTAGCGAGCCAAACTCCCTGAACTTTCTTGGGACAAGAAAGATCGCGGCTGTGTGTTTACGATTAGTCTCCGAAAATATTTCTTTGTGCATCTTTAATCATCGATGCAGTGTGAGTAGGGTCCTCATCGTGTCTTGATCCTTGATCCTGATATTCACGTTAGGCGCTCGTTGACCCCTGTACTCGTGCACCACAAGGACATCACCAATTAAGCTGTGTGCACGGGGTGGAGCAGGACCGCGCGACAGAGTCTGCGCACGATTGGGCTGCCGCCCCTGAAGCGGGGTGGGGCTAGGATAGTGCCATTTGAGAGGATGCTTGGTCCATTCCGAGGCAAAGAAGATGAGACATCTTCTGGATGGAGACTTTTTGCAGAAGCTGCATGCTTGGCAAGATTGGTAAGTTTGTTGCATGCGTCGTGTCTCTGTGTGTGGGTGTGTCTGCGCTGTCTATCGCTTTCACTTTCAAGGTCACCAACATCCTCTTCCAGAGGCGACGGCCTCACAAGCAGAACTTCAATGGCTCATCGTTTTTTATTGACCCTGCAGGCCCTGCACAGGGTTCCCAGCTCCTGTCCATCAAGCTGCACAAGGCGTTGCTGATCGGGTGCACAGAAACTTTCTCGGGTCTTCTTGAGTTTGAGCTTGTGCCGTTGCGTGTTGCGGATCTGGAACAAGGGGCCGAAGTCTGGTGTTAAACATCATCTGGTGTTAAGCATCTTGCGATGTCGCCCATATCAGGTCTGAGTGCAGCCTTGCCTCCGGCGCATCTGTTGGGCCCAGCCAGATCGGGACTTCAAGATCTGCCTCGTCGAGCTGTCGTAAGTCGCCAGTGCCAGTGTGTTGGTTCCACTTCTGCCAAGGGTTCACCTCTTGCTTCTGCGATTCGCTGAGAAAAGTTTGCGCCGTGCGTGTGGTTGCAGGAACTTTCGCATCTCACGAGATTGCTAGGGGAAAGAGGCACAGTGATGCTGACGACTTCTGTTGGGCTTGTGTCCACGGCCAACGGCAAACATTGGGAGATCATCCAAAACGACATCTTGGACCAGCGTTTTCGGGTGGCCTTGACCTGTCAGTCCAGGTAGCCTGGGGCGACTCGAGTCCTCTAGGTAGCAGTTTCCCGGACCTTCTAGCCGAGAAAAGGTCGAACATTCCAGCCCGGCTTGAAAGCAGCTGAAGTCAGGATGCCATGCACAGGTTGCCGAATCCTGGGTTTTCAGGTAAGGCGGTAAGGCTCTCCGGCATACACTCTGCAAGACTTGCCCGCCGATGAAGTTTAAGTTTAAGTGGTGGGAGAGCGTTTGTAGCGTTGAGCATTCTTGACTTTGGGTGCTTCATGTTTGCTGGCCTGGTTGTTTATTAAGGCTCGTTTGAGTACCATGTGCATCTGACCGGATGATGTTGCAGCCCAGTGGCCCGAGAAATGATCCAAGTTAAGTGTAGTGGAGACAGGGGGCCTTCTCTGGAATAGTTGTTCATAGTCGCTCAGGGATTTGGTCAAGCTTCGGCAACCCCGTCTCCCCAAGGCTTGCAGGTGCGGAGTAGGTTAATAGCCTCCTGCTTGCCTCTGCCAAAAATGGGCGTGGGTATGTCGCAAAGCTGCTGCCAGGGGGAGTCGCAGAGGGTTGTCTGCGACCTAGATCACTCCTCCAGTCTGTCCCTCCTTTATCTTGACAAAGAGATCGAGGATGACCTCACATCAACAAGAGGAAGCAGCGATGCTTCGAGCAGAGCGAGTCATGCAGGTCAGGCCGGAAAGCTCCGCGGCGTACCGGTCCTGCGAGTGCAGGCTGCAATGCCGGTACTCGCCAAGGCAAGTAGCCTGGACAGGACTGGCATCGAGGAGTTGCAGAACGTACTGAGAAGCCACGGGGTAGACACCACGAGCTGGGGCTCTCATGGGACAAAATCGATCGAACATCTGTTTTGGGAACTTTTTGTCCAGCATGGAAGCATATTGACTGGAATTGGGACGACGAGGCTGAAGCGGGTCACTCGACTGTTGAAGTTGCGTCTTGTCGCAGACATCGATGGCGTGGATCACGTCGTCTTGTCGCGACTGCAGTTCATGCACGATGGACAGCAGATCCAGCGCCAACAGCTTCCTTTACGAAGGCTCGCCTGGAAGCTGCCGACAGACAGCCCCCTGTTGCCGTCCTGCGAAGCTAATGTATATAATGAGGACTACGAGTATGTGGAGTCCTGGCGCAGCTGCTGTATGTCTGTTCTGGAAGAGAGGCTTGGAATTTCCATGACAACTGCTCAGCAGCAACTTAAGGAAGTTGCCAATACGTCCCGCACTCAGTCCACGGCATCTGGTTTCTGTTTTACGGTTTTCTACAGAATCCATTAGACCGTTGCTTCCTGCATCCTTTTGAATGCGTGAGCCTATGCTGCGACGGCATAGGAGTCCATGTTGAGACAGACGATGAAGGTATACCTACCAGAATGACGACAACGTCGCGAGCGAGGGCTATCCTGGGTTGAATACTCTGTACGGTGTGCACCAGGTCACCCCGCCATGGTAAGCTGGCCCGTCATCTCTGAGATTGTCGTGGCATTGCCAGGTCACATTCAGAGTCGTAAATCCAGACCACAGCAAGGTCCCGGACCCAGTATTGGCAGATGCTGGCAAAGCTCGCATCAAGAGTTGGCATCTGCCTGTGTTGAGGTAGCGGGCATAGGCCTACCCCTGGGGCAGGACAGCACAACAAGAGCCCAAGCAGAGCTCGCCAAGACAGCATAGCATGGTTGACGGGAGGAGTTCGCTACAGCAGACGGCCACTTCAGCTTGGAGAGGCCTGAAGCCCCGGATGCGCAAGATGTTTCGAAGGAGTGGTCCTGGGACACTTGGATGTTCCCACTTCGGTGCGGATTTTCGAGGGAACTCACACAATTCTGTGCTGGCTTCGACCAAAAAGCTCTGCTTCCGATGTCCCATGGCAGCTCCGCCATGTCTGCAGGTTTCATTGCAAAGAGCCCATCCCAATCGGCCTGAGTCACAGCACATGCCACTACTGCACAGCAAGCAGAATGTGAATGGAAGTGCTCGGATTGTGTCCATTGCGTGTCTCTTTTCAACAGAGTTGAACCCAAGGCTCTCAGCTCAATGTCTGGTTCTGGATGCCGTGCACTGAATTTGACCAGGCCGAAGCGTGTTTGCAGTCTTTCGACACATCTGACCTTTTGTAAATCTGGTGTAGGCAAAATTTTAAAAGTATAATACTTGCAGCTGTTCTTTCCAAAGTGGCCAGTTCTGCTGCGACATTCGTGCAAGGCTTGTGCCGGGCAGAGGCTTGGCCTGCTCGAGCTTTGCATTGCTGCCAGGGTTAGCTGCTAGCTTCAACCAAGAAGGGGGGAAGAGCGGCCGTACGAATCTGTGCAGCTTGCTTGATGCCTGTGCAGTCTGCCACGCTCAGACTGATGGGGCCTCAGGACCAGCGCAAGAGTAATGTCCTTCAGCTGCCTATCTCCAACCAGGCTCATCCCACATGATACCGAGGCGGTGAGTCTCCCTCCATCAAGCGTCTTGTCCCGCCCCCAGGTGACTCGATAGTCGCAGTGCATGAGGTTTTCATTACCTTATGCACCACGACTGGCCTGGAATGTTGCGTTTCATGCTGCTTACTGTAGCTTGATGCCCGATATCTTCTAAGCCTTTCAGTCTCGATGCGCAGCCTGAGGAGCCCCAAGTGGGCGTAACGCGTAGCATGTAGTGCCGAGCAACGACCAAAGGTATCGTCGCCGTGGCGAGAAGTGTGTAAGTTATCCGAGTGGTAGTGTTGTTCAAGTTTGGTCTTTGGTTGGTTATGTTGTTGACACATGTGGCCATGAGCCTGGTGTTCGTGATAATGGAGCTCGTGTGGACGAGGATGATAACGGAGATGACCACTGTAGGCTTATGACCAACAAGGGAGTCTGATGTTTGTACAAATTTCTGCTTCACACAGATTGTTGGTCTGTTCGTTGGCCGCGAGCTCCACATTGCTCTCGGAAATCGCTTGGAGCCAGTGAAGTGCTGTACATGGCATTACCTAGTCAACACTGCGACGCGTCAAAGTTCTGGCAAGCATCGGTGACCTTGGACTGCCATGCCCAGGAGGCGGAGCTGACGTTCCTGAAGCGTGTTCCGGTCGCACCGGCCATATCTAAGACGGCATCCATGAATCCAGCCTGCTCCTAAGTTGAGGTATGCTATGTTGCCAACATGCCTTGCATGCCTGGCTCTTTGGGTGTGTGGGTCCCCATCATTTGAAAGCCTTCGCAGGGCGTCGCTGGCAAAGAAGCCAACATGACCAAGCCGGCCCACTCAGATCTGTAGCATTGCTGTGTTTTCAGACACATTGGGCCCTTTGACTATTGCTGAGATTCAGTCAGGGTGTCGCAATCACATCCATAGAAGCTTCAGGTTGCACGGCACACGCAGTCTGTTCGAAGAGGCGACACAGTGAAGCCGACAGCTCTTTTTGAGGAGAGGTGCTCCAAACGCCCATCTGCGTCGCATCCTAGCAAACAAGAGCGCGGGCCTTAGTGCAGCGCTCTAGGTGATCAGCAGTCCTCAGGGCTCCAGCCGAACTTCAACTGCACCGAGATTCTTCGAGGGTGTCGCATATTGGCTTCTGGTTGTACAGCTACCCTGAACCCTCCCGCGGTTCTGGTCAGAGGTGGAGTCCAAATGAATCCCTTGACAAACTGCCGGTTCAGCTTTGTGCTGGCTGGCTTTCCGGAACTTCAGGAACCGACTGGAAGACGGTGAGGAGAGCCGAATTAGGGTGCATGCGGTGGCTGCGAGATAGATCCAAGGCTACGGCGTGTGCACTTGTGAACTCAGATGGTCCTCGGGTTAAGGAAAAGTGTCATGTCCGTCTCATGCAACAGTATGCGAAAGCAACGGCAACCATGCAGCTTGCAGGAAGATGGCGAACAGGATAATGGACAAAGACTACACCCTGGCGCAGTTCACTCAGGACAGCGCGAGAAAGCATGGCTTCTGGTTTTTGCAACACGTGCTTTGCTTGATTGTGCCTTGCTGGGATGGAATCCATTTTGCTCTTGGCAAATGCCAGGACCTTGCAGCCTTCCCCGAGCTGTCCCTATACCTGCGGGATGGAGACCGGGCCCTACATCGGCCGAGCAACGGAGCGACATGCGAGACCTCCGTCCAGACACTTCGCAGCTTCGGAGGGCCCAGCTCTGGGAAGCTACTTGTATCATTCTTGCGTGAGGTGGGGGAGACTGGATCGGGTCGAACGACAGACGATGAGTTCCTCAGCATGCAAAGCGGCCGCTTCCCGCAGCGCTTCAGGGGTGCCCGCTGGACTGGACTCCCGAAGTCACGCAGGTATCAGCGCACGGTGTGCGCTTTCTTCGCCATCTACTGGCTCGTGCGCCAGCACCTTACAGACCGCATTGATCACTGCAGTTTGACCTCCTCCTCCTCCTCCTCCTGCACCAGGCCTGGACACAGATGGCCGCCAGGGCTTCTGCTTCGGCACAGACAGCGACTGGAACGTGCTGAAGGAGCTGCCCTCTGGGGCCTGTGATTTCTTTGCTGTTTGGTCTGCAACTAGCCAGCGGGTAAGCGAATCACGACAGTCGGCAACACTTGAACTGGGAGGCCGTGTGGTTGCAGGTTGCGGCTTAGGTTTCCCCTTCCAGTTCGTGCCCACGCTAGTGCAGAAAACAGGAAGAAATGGAACTACGGCTTACAATAGCAAAGCGCTCAGCTCCATGGCAGCGCAGGAATCCGAACTCCAGGATGGGCAGGCTCGGCAAGCACGTAACCGCTGCTTCCGTCACGACCCATAAATGTCCAGAAGCCTTTCGGAACACGTGGCTGCTGCATGTAGTATGGAAGGACACAAGGATCACGCTACCGTGCTTATGGTTTATAGAGGTGGCAGTCCAAACACGGACCGTGTCCCCGGAGCTGCAACAACGCCCGTGGCCAAGTGGAGCCGGGTTAGTCCGTTTGCGGCTCAAGTCCTTTCTACACATCTTTCGAAACAGCCGGCATGGCTTTGCCGTTCCGGGCGGGTTTCTTACAAACGCGTTCATGCTTTGCCGGCTGAGGCTTCTACAAGGTTGATCGCCGCCTGGCATTCTTCAACAATGCCCAGCGCGCTCCCGAGAAGCGCACGAGATTCTGCCATCCCGTGGTCAGTTGCAGGAAAGATCTTGCACGACAGATGGAAGCTGTAGGTGGAATCAAACAAATTGAGACACCGTGTGCGCACTGTCCACAGGTGGGGCTTCTTCCGCCGACTCATGGTGGATGCTCGCTGGCCAAGAATGCCTCACGTGTTTTTGTCGATCCAGCGCAAATTTGGACGTTCGGTTGAAGAGGTGCGGTGGCCTCAAAACCAGATTATATCATTGCACTCCTAAGAAACAATGACACATGCCTTCTCGGGCAGCACAGTTTGGGGCAACCTTCGGCTTGCTTGGGTCTGTACACATGTCGCAAGTGTAGCCGTGTGTCCTTTGTGCACTCGCGCTGGATCGTGAATCTACTAGCCTTTCTGCAAGACGGCTTTCGGCTGGATTATGTCGTGTGACGGGAGATTGGCTGGGCGATGTGCTGAATCGCTTAGAGCTCTGGTCGGGGGATACCTAACCTGACTTTCGTCGTCACGATGCTGTTGCAGTTCAATGAACCTAGCCGCTTTCCGCCTGTTTTCACATGCCGCCTGGCGACTGCGCTACATGTGGTTGCTTTGAGGCCGGCTTGTTGCAGGAGACGACTGCTGGATCAAGGTTCGTCATGCGGGAAAGGGGGGGATATCTTGTCGTGGATGAGTTGTGTATAGGCGACGACAGGCAGACAGTGCAATGCGATGAGCAGAACACGAGAGTGTTTTGATGCAGTCTGTGACTCGACGAGTCGCAAGTGCTATCAGGACAGCTTACAAAGTGCAGGAGACACGAATGGTCTCACTGCTGGCATGGGCCTCAGTAAGGTCAGTTTTGTTTGAGAGTCGCCTTACTTGCAAGATCCTGGAAGCACGGAAGTTCTGTGCAAGAGCCGCAGACGTGGCTGCACGGTACCCTCATGTCTTAGGCTTTGACCGCGATCCACGACATCATGAAGATGGAGAACTTGCTGCCGACGGTGCGGAAGGGAATGCGAAAGGGAAGGAAGGGTGCATCCGATGGCAGTCTTGGAGTGGCGGAAGGTACAGCAGGAGCACCACGGCTATCATGGCACGGGAACTCAGAGGGCCGGAGATTGATCCGATAAATGCACGGGTACACGGGTATACTGTATACTCTTTGCGGGCATGGAAATTGGGGTGTGGCTATGTGGGCGAGGCTATGCAGCGGGTGACGTGATCGGTGACCACGACACCGCCTTGTGCTATATCCTGGACCCTCGACCTGCTCCCTGTGAGACAGCGATCACGCCCTTGCGGCCCTAGTAGCTGTCCCTGCTCACTGCCGTGATTCTCGAAAGGACCACTACACGGAGTTGCTGCCCTCCTTCAAAGAGCTTGACCCGGCGGAGCGTCAGTCGGTGCAGTTCACACAGCCGGGGGCCCTGGCCCTGCCAAGCATCATATCTAAGTAGTCAGAAGTCTCTGCTGTGCAGCAGTGCCCCGGGAAGATCCGAGCCGCTTCAGGTGCAATCTTTGCTTCAACCACGGCCGGCATCTCAGACGTCATCCTGAAAGCCCAGTCCAGTCCAGTCGACAGCACGGTGAGGTTGGCTGGTGCAGGCAGAGGCCGCCTTTTCGGACTGTTTCGGGATTCGAAAGGCCTTTTCGGGCCTGAGCGGCCCAGAGACGGAGTTTCGCAAGGCCCCACCAGGAGCCATCTTCACGAAGTTTCGCGAAGCCATCGCCAAGGATCGGCGGCCCGGAGCCCCGGAGCCCCGGGCCGCCGTGTAGCTTGCATGCTCTGAGACGTTTTTTGCATTGCAAGGTTACACGCCGGGGCGAGAGATGTGGCTCTTTATTTTGTGCATTGGCTTACCGACTTGGTGGGACGCCCGGCCCACCGAACCGCCCGCTCAACCGCCTGCTCGGCCTCGAAGTTCCAAGGCCGGTGCTGAGCCAACACCGCTCGGCGGCTGCGAGAAGTTTGTGATCAAGTTCCCTCTGCACGCCTCACCCCTAAGATCATAGACCTGGGATCGACGCAAACACAAATTCGACAGAGCAGATGTGTAGACTTGAACAGAAGCCGAAGTCTGAAGCGAGCCCAGGTGTTGAACAGTTTTCTGCAGTCTTTCAAGCTCATCGAGGGCATCACATCCTCAACGGAGACGCAGGCGGGAAGAAACATGCTGACAGCGAGGGATTTCTCGTGCTCCTGTAGCTGAGCTGGCCTTTGCACGTTTTGGTGCCGTGATGCTGCAGTCTTCCTGCAGCGCCACTCCAACCCCACCTCCGACTTTGCTCAAGCCTCGAAGCAAAAGAGCCCTGACCAACTGCTTTGCCGACCTGTCTTGGTCCTTCCGCAGCGATGGCCGCACCTCGCGATAAGTCTGTTTACTTCGCCGCCTGCCTAGCATTCTGCGGCATGTATTGTCAATTCTTGTCCCCGAAGGAATGATTGCCGAGGGTTGCAAGCAGTTCCCATGCATTTCGTGTACCACATGGTCGAACTTGGTAACAGAAAATCTTACTCGTACCCACTGATATAGTAGGGGCCCTTTCAGAGATTAGCATGCTAACCAGATCTAATTAGGTTGTGGCCCAAAGCTGTGACACAGCTTTAGCGTTTTACTCAGAGGCCAAGCTGGCGGAGCAGGCAGAGCGCTATGACGAGATGGCCGAGCACATGAAGAACGTGGGCAGCGACCCTGCTGAGCTTTCCGTCGAGGAGCGTAACCTGCTCTCCGTGGCGTACAAGAACACCGTTGGATCTCGTCGTGCTGCCTGGCGTATCATCACCAGTGTGATGCAGCACCTGGGCAAGGTTTGATACCTGTTATACCTATGGGCTGCTTCAGCATGCCATGACATTTTGCAGCGCCTGCCAAGGCAGGCTTCTCTTGAGAACGCTCGTCTGTGCTGTGAGGAAGGAGACCACGAAAGGCAACACCGACAATGCTGCCTACGCCAAGGAGTACTGCAAAAAGGTTCCCGAGTGTACATGGCAATGGCCGTTCCTACTTTGGTGCAGAGTGGTTAAATTGAGCGCGTCTTAGTCCTGGAGACCATAACCGTCCTAGCCGGTCCTAGCCGTGCAATGTCACATTGGCGTGAGAGTTGATTCCACATCAGCTTCCCGAGGTTGTCAAAAGGTTGCAATGGTAGAGTACGAGTAGACTGAGTGGATTGTAGACGAGAGAGCAGCAAATACTTCCGAGGTTGAGGACGAACTCCAGAAGATCTGCGACACCATCCTCGCGCTTTTGGACGGCCAGCTGATCGCGAAAGCCAGCTCCGGTGAATCCAAGGTCTTCTACCAGAAGATGAAGGCCGACTACTACCGCCACTCAAGCACTGCGAAATCTAGTCTTTTCGATCGGAAACCCAAGGCTCACAAAAATAACAGAGGAGCAACCTGTGAACCAAGGCTACATCGCAGAATTCCGCGACGGTGATGCCAAAGGCAGTGCAGCAGAGAAGGCCCGCCAGGCTTACCAGGAAGCTGAGGACACATTGGGACAGAAGGGTTCGTACGTTCCCAGTCAGGATATTGCAAAGCCCTTGTAAGTGTTCCCGTGCGGACCAGGACATCGCGAAGAAGGATCTAGCCGTGACCCACCCAATTCGCCTTGGCTTGGCGCTGAACTACTCGGTGTTCATGTACGAGGCGTCTTGGCGCTCGTAGGGACTTTGCAGTGTCCACAAAAATGACGCATCTCCCGCTCGGGGTGCTGAATGCAGCCAGGTGCTGGGCAATCCAGACGATGCCTGCAAGATGGCACGCACGGCTTTTGAGGACGCCATCGCCGAGCTGGACAACGTTGCAGAGGACTCCTACAAGGACTCAACCCTCATCATGCAGCTGCTGCTGTGCTCGCAAGAACAATGCATGAGTTTTGCATGCAATGGCCCGGCAAGTCACGAAGCCATGTCGGTGCAGGGTTTAGCAGCAAAGGTTGAGGGACAACTTGACCCTGTGGACCTCGGACCAGGAGGGAGGGCAGGCCTAGACAGGACACACACGAGTCCTTTCATGGCCAGCTGCTTTGGAACTCGGCCCCTTTCGGGCTGGGAAAAAGCATTGAGACCGCCTGTTACACGTGCAAGAGCTGCTAAGGCGGAAGGAAAAGTGCGGCCCGTAAGTGCCGTGTGTCGAAGCAAACGGCTTTGCACTTTGCCGTTGCTGCAAGCTTCACGTAACTTGGAGGTCATGGAGAGATACCTCAAGTACCGGTGGACTGATCACGTGCCATCCTTGAAAGAGCCTCCAGAAGGCGGGCGGGCCTGCAATGGAATTCCAAGCTTCGGGTCCATTTTCCAAGCTGCCAATCAATTCTAGGGAGGCCATGCAGCACTCTGGAACCTAAAGCTTCCGTTGAGAAGGTATTCTTCCCGTTTCTGCCTCTGCATGAACGGTAGATCGCGTAACGTGTGCCGACATTTTGCCAGTCAAAGGCCCTCATGCCATCGCCGCCATGCGCCTCCTCTGCATGGCACAGGCAGCGGGTGTGCTTCTGTTGGATGTTGGCCCTGCGCACTCACGCACTTAGAATATAGGCAGCAGAACTACCAATTCTCAGAGGTTCTCCGCTGTAGGTGCACTGCCGGAGCGCACTAGCCGCTCACAGACTCAGCCTCCAGCCCCCAACGATCCATTCAGCAATTCCCGAAAGGTCCCGTGCTGGTAGGGCAGTTGCTCTTGTTGCTGAGAGCAAGAGTCGCGGGGTCTGTGCAAACTTGTGGACCGTAGCAGAGTCGGCTGGAGTGTCGAGTGAGGCAAACGGGCGAACGGTGGTGGACGCCTTCAACCTCGAGTTGCCACAGGAGGACATCTTGGAAACCTCCGGAAAGAACGTTGGAGTCGGGACACGCGTAAATACCGTCCTCACTTGCAAGGCTTGCTGCATTTAAAAGCATCCGCAGGCCTTGCATAATATGTACACTTCATACATCGTGGGGACTACTTTGTCCGCAGGCCCAGCCTGCAAGAATTGTAACTTCTGCAGGACAAGGAAGTCTTGAGTGTGGAGATGTCGCGAACGGGCTGTGCAGGCGCTTCCGTCCGAGAAGCAGCTGCAGCAGAGACGAGGCATTCTTCGCGTCAACTACGCGCTCTGTTTGGCCAGGCCAGTCCTTCTCTCCAACCTTGGTGCCCAAGGAGATCCTGTCGAAACCGGCTTGCGGCCGAATTTCCACCCACATCCTTTGCGCGCGCGGGGATATTGTTGGATCGCAGCTGCTGTGTAGGGTGCACCATGATCCAGCCACCTGCGGCCAATTCTGCGAACCCACATTCTGAGAGAAGAAGGAGAAGGCAGAAAAGCAGACGGCCAAGGGGCCTACATTGCAGTGAGCTTGGTGCCGATGCAAGGCCGGACCGGCCTTCGTCATCTACTACGGCCCAGCATTCCTGCAAGCCTTAGGCGGAAGTCTTACTCTAGCTGTGGTTTTTATTTGAGGCTGGCTCATGACTCACGCCATCCACTGTGACCCAGGTTCGGACTCGGCAGTGCTACGCCAAGAGCTCAGCAAGCTTCTGTTTCAGCCTGGGCCGTGTTGCTTGTAGGCTCCATTCATCCAGTTGAAATGGTCGACGTGCTTACATCAGCTTTGAACTACAAAGAAGAAATCGGATGGTCGGACAGGCCCATGGCATTTGTTGGAACTGGGAAGTTGCAGCTTTGGCGACCTGCTGAGGTTTGCGGATATTGGCGGAGATCTACCGCTGCTCACGGGAGCTCTGGCCAGAGGCTTTCCGCCCGTACGAGGGAGAAGCTGTAAAGTTGTTGTTCCCTCCGCTCTCGGCATTCTATTTGCCAGCTGAGCATATTTTTTTCTTCAAACGTGTGTGTGTGTGTGCGCGTGTGTACACGCCTGACTAAGCTGTCTGCAGGGGCACGGGGGGAGTGACCGGCCTAGGAAGAAGGAGGTTGCGCAACACCTCCGGCGAGCCTTAGGTCTCTCATGAGTTCACTGTGATTGGAGTTACGGCGTTACGGTCAGGGGCTAGCCGTGCTAAGCACAAGAAGAGAGTAACCCTAAACCCACGTGGTGGCTGCGGCTCCTCGGACGAAGCTCAGGAGCAAAGCGGAACTCCCATCTTTCTTTGCACGTCGGCTGCTGTCTCGGGGTTCCTGTCCGATCCTCCCAACGCTTCGACGCGCGAGCTTGAGGCTGCGCTGCCAAGCGCACGGTTGGTGAAGCGTGGAGACGTAAGATGCTTGAACATGCAGCGTCATTTGGACCTGACATCGGACGCATTCAGTGCGACGACTGGCGCCTCAGGCGTGCCATGCGTGCCGGAGCTTCCTGCCACACCGTGGCTGTACTCCCTGAAGTTTTGACGAGGCCCAGAGGTCGTGATTCACACAAGCGTGCTCGGGACGCCTTACAGCATCCTTACAGCTTTTAGCCAAAGGACCCTGCCTGAGGTCCCTCAGTTTCGCACCCTTGCCGAGGCCACCGCTTCGGACTTCCCGAATGAGCGGGCTTGCCTCGTGACTAGCATGCTTGGACCTGCGCAGGGCCTCGGCGCGGAGCTGGCTTGCCGCCCGTGCACAGATAAAACAATGAACCCCAACCGGTCAACTGTCAACCTAAAATGGCCACGCAAGATGGAATTACTGGAAGGGGATAGAGGCAGTGCGGAGGGGCTTTGTCCAACGAAGCTCCCCTCTGCACTGCAGGAAAACGTACCTGCACGCATCCCCTGGGCCTCGACGAGGGCAGCTGGGAGATGCACTCTTCTCGTTTTATGTGGTGTGCCATTTCTTTGTGTCTGGCACACCGGGGGTGTGCCAGAACCCTACCCTTGCGGATCGTTCTTTCTGCATGCAATTCCTGCTGTCTGGCATGCTTATGCACCCCAAAAGCGTTTTCATATCGCATCCTATTCTTCTGTCTTTTCGTCGTCGGTCACGTCACATGTTCTTTGCAGTCGCCCGTACCGAGCCAAAGTGTATGTATGTACGTATGTATGTATGATGATGTGAATTATGTATGTATTTATGTTTGTGTGTTTGTTTGCTTGCAAGCCTGTATGTCTGTATGTAAGTATGTACACATGTACGTATATACATACATATATATATATATGTATAGATAGCTATCTACATGGACGTGTGCGCTTGTGGCCAGTCCGCCGCCGCTGTGGCGACCTCTGTGCACGTCCGCATTGACACAGTCAAGGCCGACTCCGCTTGAAGCTGCTGAAGCTCGTGAACCTGCCAACAAAGAAATCGTTGTATGCCTGCCACGTTGCATCGTACATGTGGTTGTTGGGGTCCCTCTCTGGGCTTCCGTAGGAAGGTCCTTTCAGAGTCTTGTCATGTTGAAATTTACAGCGAAGGCTTGTGGACAAGGACTTGGAGGGTTCAGGGTTGAGTAGCCAGGAGGAGTTTGTGCCCTACTCTTTGACTCAGGGCTTGAAAGTCGCGGAGATTCTCGACGTGTCGAAAGGCAGCTCGTTTCCTGCTGCTTCAACAGGGACCTGCAGAAGGGTAGAATTCAGACATCGTACAAAGCGGTTGTCCGACGTGCGACGTTGTCGCTGCCAGTTTGTCATTTTGCCTGGAACAGTGCATCTGAGTACAGGAGAGCTGTGGCTCGTCACCAAGCACAATGAGAGCGAGGCCGGTGTCTCTGGGTTGCCGTTTAATTCACTGCAGCCAGATAGACCGAGGCCGATAAAAGACGGTCAGGTCTCTCCTTGACTGCAGTTCCTTTGCATGCTAAAGGTCGTATCGAAGCCGCTTCGCAAAGCCTCAGAGAGCATCCGTCACGGCCTGCAAGGCTTTCGTGGAGCGGGCTTCTCACAGAAAGCTCAACAAGTGCCACTCCCGGGTTTGCCGTTTTAGACTAGGTGCAGCAAAAGGTTTTGCCGGACATGATGTTCTGCAGCGCCAAGGGTCAGTCGCAGCCACAGGGTTTCAAAGGTTGTCTCTGGATGTTCGCAGCAGTTCATCTACCCACCAATCACCAAAGTCTACCCGACCTTGGCTAGTGCCTTCCACTCGAAGCTTGCGAAACTGAGGTTTGTGAGAAACGGCCAGAAGTTCCAAATCCTCGACTTGGGTGCCGGGCCGAAGTGTTGAAGCTTTCAGTGAAGTGTTTGCCATCTCCATATCTCCATCTCTTGGTTCCCCTATCGGAAGATTTTGAGCATCACATGCTTCCTGGAAGGTTTCCTGCGCGAGAGTCACAAACAGTGACATCAAGGGTCGCGTGAGGGGCCCTGGTGAGCAAGCCGTGCTTGCCGAGTAAGGCCTCAGCAATGGACCCCGGCTTCGCCTCGACAACAAACTCTAACCCACGTGTACTGCACGAGCTTGCATACCATCAGGCAATGCAAAGCATTGCTAAAGCACCGATGCAGAGCATCTCTTTACGGACGGTGTAGGTCCTGCGGACCTGAGTTGCTGTGCATCAATCCTGCAACAGTTGCAGTCTTGACCTTATACTTCCGAAATACTCTCACCGGGTTCTAGGGAGTGAACCGAGGACTTTGCAGTAACGCCGGATCCACTGTGTCAAGTCCTGGCCATCGCGGGTGCGCACGGAGGGTTCGGGTGCAGTCACGCAATGTTCTCTTTAAGAATGCTTGTGCTGGAGGGTTCCAGTGCTTACGCTGTTCCATTCTCGACACATGCACCCGAGTCACTGCAGGCCGCTCGCAGGGGTGAAGGTGAACCTGTGCCTAAGGTGAACCTTTGCCGGCCATGCAAGCCACGTGTCCGAGGGTAGTAGAAGCAGGCTGCACTCCCATAAGAGTTCCAATTCGCTCAGTACCGGGCGGCTTTAGTGACCTGGGGACGCTGAGCCAATGCCGAAGCAGACACTTTGCAAGTGTGCAGGAATCTCACCGTCTCTCCGCTTAAAGTGGATCGGCAGGGTTGCCATTGCAAGGTCGAGCCAGTGTGAAAGGCTCACAAAACGCCTCCATGTGCAGCTGGTGAGCTTGATAGGCTCGTAATTACGAGGTAGGAAAATGCCCATTGGCTGTAGATGGAGGTTGCCGCCACAGTCCCGGGTGCCCCTCCTCCTCAGATGGGACCGGGATGGCAGTCAAGCGAAGCAACTTACTTGTAGCAGCAAATCATGTCTCTGTGAAGCTTCCATCCTCTTTGAACGGGTGCCCAAGGATCCGCAGGGTTTCACGCCAAGGCTCACGCCTTTTGGCCATCCCTGGCCCTGTTGCAAGGATATTCGACGTGAGTAGACTCGAAGTTTGCTGGCTTCCAGAACTGCAGTAGGCAAGTGAGGTAGGGGAGAAGCTTCAGGTATCGCCAGGGGCCATTTTGAAGACATTTGGACCGGTGTGAACCCGCCTGGAACAGTCGCTCTTTGGCCTCGTTGACACCTCATCAAAGAGCTGACTTGATTTCATTTGCACTGCAAGTTATGGCGTGTTTTCCTGTGGTCATGGGTGGTCTGTTAGCTCCTCTGCGTCAGTGCATCGGCTCCAGCCTGGTCGCCCGAGGTTTCTGGGATTTCTGCCCTTGGGTGCTCAGCCATGGCTAAAACAGCACGCAATCACAGGCCTCCGCCATTTTCACGTAGCCTCCCTCTCCCGCACCACCATTCCGCATCGCAGCTTTGAAGACGTAGCCACGAGGGCTGAAAGCCACGCAACGAACCGATTAGATTCGATGAGTTGTGTCGCAGTGCGGAGTGCAGCCTGCCGCAGACGTGTGTCCGCACTGTCGACGCACGCGACCCGGTGACGGCTTAGGCCTAGCCCAGTCTAGCTGTCTAGTCTACAAGTTGCCAACTTGCTCAGGGCGACATTTATTTGGAGCATTTTGGAGCTCAGAGACGGATCAGACAGGGTTTTTCCCATCGAAGCGCCCAGGCCAGTGACGCCATGGCCTAGGCACGGGTTCTGCGAAGTTGGGGCCGCGGGGGCATGTCGTGATTACACCCAGAGCATGTTCAACCTCTGACTTGCTCTTCTTGGCTCAGTATGTACTGGTAGTTGGCATCGCATCAATGGGCGACCGACGGCTAGTGCCGGGAGCCATGCAGGGCCTCCAAAGCATGTCCGACCAAATGAGAGTTGACAACAGACACGGAAGATTCGAGCCCCGATCATATGACCTCCTTCGTATGGTATGCTGCTCTTCCGGCATTCGTCGGCGGGACTGGAACCGCGCGGCACTTGCTGGCACATCGTTGTCATGACATCGGTGGGCAGGTGCTTTGTGTTGTCAGCACAGATAGCTTCTTTTTTGTCCTGCAGTGGAGTGCTCCACCCGCGTAAAGCCGATTGCCGAGGTCTGGCTGCTAGCAGCGGCCCTGCACCTGTTGACCCGGAGAAAGGCCAGGGCGTGCTGCAGGGCTGCGTTCGTTTCTGTAATCGGGCGGCGCTTCAGAGATTTACGATGTTTCTTTTTCAATATACGCGAGTATTTGAAGATTGAAGGAGTTGTTGTTTGAAGATGTCAGTGGTTTGGGGTCAAAAACAAAATTTAGGGGACCCTTGCCTCTGATATTGGATCTAGGCGCCAGCAGCGGGGACCCCCCTGTACCACCTTATTCATCAATTCGGAATTCGGAAGGCTGCTCTCTCGATGAACGAGAGAGGCCCTGCAAGGCTCTAGGCCCCCGAGCGGACTGCCACCTCGTCATTCGGCAACACAGCCGCAGTGCACCGCTGCACAACTGAAGACACCAGCATTGCCTAAGCCGGTTTCACGTTCACCGCATTGTTTTGGACTCGTTGTGGAGAAGCAGAAAAACATCGACGAGTCTGCAGGATGGCAAACAAACGTTTCAGAGTTGTTGTTTTCCTTGCATTCAGGAAACAAGAAAGGGCTTTGTCATCGGTCGTTCAGCGCAGTTTTATGACAGCACATGCCAGCTCCAGTTCTTTGTCAAACCCGCAGGGCTCGCCTCAGCCGGAATCTGCAGAGGTCCGGACCAGAGTGGCCTTATCGAACGGAGTTGGGTCTTGGGGTGCAGATCGGAGATCCGAACGTCTCTTGAGCATCTTGCCGCGTCTCAATGCTGCGTTGGACACTTTCGGATCAAGGCCAAGAGGCCAGCCGGAGATGTGCACAAGCCTCCTTCAGCGTGCGCTCAATGCAGGGCGGTGCTGCGGAAGATCTGGTTCATCTGAAGCAGGTAGGGCATGCAATCGACATCTGCAACAAGGCCGGCCCCGGAAACCTCCAAGGCTGTTGACAGCTCCCGAATTTCCGAACCTTGAGGCCCTGCAGTTTTTCATGCCATTGCAGGAGACGCCTAGCAAGCGACAGAAGGAGGAGCTGGTTTCGCCGCCCCTGGATGTGCTGAGGGTGGAGGACGAGCTCTTCATCTCGCCCAGCCGGCAACCCAATCATGTCAGTCGCCTGTCATAGCCGCCTCTAGTGAAGCTCCAGTAGGTGCCAGCAGGCGCATCACATCCTGATTTCCAGGTGTCGATGCCGCCCTGCTGCGAGCGAGAGAGCCTTGATCGAGCACGGGGGTCATGTAAGAGCCAAGCAAGGATTCCCTAGGACGTAGGATGGCCCGGGTGCAAAGGGCGTGTCGAAGTGCCTGGTAATTAGCTCAGGAACTCTTTGCTTTATCGGTGGCGCTGCCGATAGCTTGGCTCCACATGGACGCAAACGTGGAGAGCAGTCGTGCCCGCAAGCACGAGAGGGTCAAGGAGCTCGTTAGTTTATCTAAGGAGGGCTCATGTTTTGGCCTTTTGTTTTTGGTCCTTCTTTTCCTTTAAGCCGTGAAGGTCGTAGGAAGGAAGACAGGAACAAAGGAAGGAAGAAGGGCAGGAAGGAAGGCGGGGAGGAGGGAAGGAAGGAAGAAGGAAGGAAGGAACAAGGGATTGAAATGACAATCCACCCATTTTCTGACCGTGTTTCTGTGTTGTTCTTTCTTCCGTCAGCCGAGCCGAATGAGCCGAGTTTGCTCTGCGTCGGGTGGTATCAATTTCCAAGCTGCCTCAGGAGGGTGCTCAGAGCGTGCATCGACTTCAGGAAAGCTTTCGCGGCTTGGACCTGTATTTTTTGCAGAATTCACTTGTATGCCCAAGTAAGTAAGCTCAGCATCCTTCTCACTGCCAGGAATCTGACCGAAAGTGTTAGTTTGTGCAGCGCTTTCTCAGGTTGCAAGGTGTTGGACCACGTATTTCCGATTGCATCCTTCTTCGCCGAAGAGGAGTTTTACCTGCTCTTGTTGCCACTTCTGTTCTGGTGTGGCGACTATAGATTTGCGCGTGCCTTGTCTGATTCGAAGCTGCAAGGGTCAAGGCCGCGGTAACAGGCGACACACGCCGGCGCAAGCCTTTGTTGTCCGAGATCATCTGAGGCCATATGACATATGTGGTCTGCTTTGGTCTCGTCTGGGGCAACCTGCTAAAGGCCCGCATCAGCCATTGCGGCTACGGGATAATTCGTGCGTGAAGTCAAGATGGCTGGGCAGCTCGAGCCCTGTGTGGCCTCGAGGACGTGTTCCGGCTCCCTCGACCGCGGAATGTCAACTCCAAGGTGGGAAGCTGTCAGATGGTTTGCTCTGTCCTGTGGCTTCGAGCTTCGAGGTCTGGGTGCCTTCAAGCGCTTCCCACATCGACTCCACGGCTTGCCGCGACTTTGGGTTTCCTTCTACTCACGCGATGAACTCAGCGGCTTTGGATGCAATGACACGGCAAACAACACCTGATAATCGCTCGGAAGGAGGGGCTACGGGATCTGTGCAGTCTCAAGAGTCTTCAATCTGAGGCACTTGCGGGTTGAAATCAGATCAAGCGCAAGCTGCGTACTTAGGTCAGCAACTCGCTTTTCACGGTGCTCTACTGCTTTCATCATCGGCTTGGGATCTCTGGCACTGTGCTGGGGCTTCTTTCTGGTTGCTGGATATTCTCCATCAGCTTCGGCCGATTGTATCTTGGGGTGCATTCTCCTATGGATGTGAAGGCAGGCATGATCCTCGGGCTGGTAGTGGCTCTCGTGGCATACAACCTCTGTGACGCCTTCGATGCCTTCATGTTGGGAACTCCCCATGTGGGCTTCCTTCTTCTGGCCTTTGCATCGTCCGTGTTGGTATTGATACTTGTGTGTGATTGGCAATTAGCATCCATTGATTAGCAGTGATTCGCACCAACATCAATAGTGAAGAAGGGAGGGGAGAGAATTGGATCCCGGAATGAGGAATCCGCAGCCGCGGCCAATGACGCCGACTTTCCTGCAGAACTGCACTTGTTGCGGCCTCATTCTCGGCTGTGCTGTCGGCTTTCGCATGGAGGTAGAGCGCCGTGGTGGAGCAAGCGCATTCAGCAGTGAGACCTTCGGACAGAGCAGCGCGGCCGCGGCCGTGCTGCGGATTATCATTGGTTATGCGATCCTCCTGCTGGCGCGGGTGGTGCTGAAGAGCGGCTTCACGACGCTCTTGCGCCTGATCGGCTTGGAGCCGAACCCAGCAAAGCCGGTACCGCGCAGTGAGGTGGAAGACTGCAGGCAAGAGATCAAGGGCTGGGACCTTTTTGCAGCCGCCGTGCTCAAAACGAGCGTGTATACGAGCATGGCCTGGACCATAGTCTGCGGAGCACCTGCTGTTTTCGACATGATTGGCATCCCGTGCGGAATGAGCGGTTGAGCGGGGGTCAAGCCGGGCACCGGGTGTGTTCCTGCTGCTATGCTTGGGTTAACAGCGCTCGCTGATGTCTGCTGCTTGCTGCAAAGCGGTCTTTCAGCCAGCTGTGCTCGGAGCCATCTTCTTACACTGTTACCATGCAAGCAATGCAAGGCCCCCCCCCCTCATAACAGTCGCATCGTGGGATTTGGCAGGCTCGGGCGCAGGAGTCAGGACAGATTGCTTGGAAACCCAACCAATCTGCAAGAGCACCATTCGGTGTGAATGGACGCCACGAGCGGAGCAACATGGCCGGGAGCGAGAAGTTCCACGATTCTACCGTTGGGTTTGCCGGAAATTCCCTGTGGGGTTGAGAAAGTGGAATGGAAGGGTTTAAAGCCAGGCGTACCAGTTCCTTTTTCACGACCTGTAAGTAGAAGCAGATCACTGAGACAGTTCGTCTGGATGCGGACGTAGCCAACCGCAGCCCACTGACACCTAGCCTGACCGCGAAGCAAAGGACGCACGCATACCTCGGCCGATCGAAATATCCTGTTTCGACTTTGGCCCGTGAGGCAGCATCTCTTTGCGAAGCCGCTGCATATCCTGTCCAGGTGGAGGACATTTTAAGCTGGCTTTCGCTGAATTGCTAAGCTGCGCCTCGTACAGTTCGGGTCCAAGCGGCTCGAAGCAGGAACGCCCCTGTAGATCTGTTGAAGGGAACTCCTGCAGCCGGTCTGTACAGGACCTGGATTTGGCAGAGGTTCTGGGACCCGAGCCCGAGCACCTCAGCTGACACATCCGTCTCTCGCTTCATCTCGTCTGAAAACGTCGAAGTGCGGACGCCGCACCTGATGTACTGCAGACTGCAGCATCTCGCATGAGGCCTGAAATCGAAACGGCGGAAGATGTAGCTGTCACCCGCGAGGTGGGACTGCCAGGACATCGGGTGCCTTTCTTGTGCTCAGAATGAAGTTTACTCGACGACCGGCCTGAGTGAGGTCCAAGAGCAGTCGCCTAGCCCCCGGACCGCCGGACCGGACCGGAGGTCGCAGAGACCGGACCGGCAGAGCCGAAAAAAGGAGGAGCTGCGCGTTTTGGCCGAGGCCCCCCGGCGAGAGCTCTGAGCCAGCGAAAACAGAGGCGGAGGCCGAGGCCGAGGCCGGCGAGGCCGCCGGAAATGCCCCCAGCGCAGCGAGAGATTTGGCCCCCGAGCCGAGTGCTCTGCTGCTCTGCGGGAGGCGCCTTCTGCGACTGCGCTTCGTGTTGGCGCTGCGCTGGGCGTGCGGTGACCCAGTAACGGTCTTCCGCATGCGACAAGGCTCCGAGTGTTTGCTGCGGCCAGGAGCAGGAAAGAGCTCTTCAGGAGTTGGAGGCCTCGATCCGATCTGATCGGTTTACACAACCGAATCCTTCTCTGTCACTCTCCATGTTCCTGGCATTCCGTCTTGGGCCGATGCCCCTTGAGACTGCAGGATGGCCTCAGGGAAGACCTGAAGAAGCAGGGCTCCGATGATCCCAGGGATGCCTGGCAGAACGACGGCGGTCGTGCGAGTTCGTGCGTGGCAATTCGGAGCATGGAAGCATCGGTTTAGAGAGATCAGTGTGTTGTTCTGAGGACCTCTTCTCCCATCGGGCTATGGACATCTGTGGTCCAGCTGCACTGTATGAAGCGAAAACACGGGTCACGCCATGATCACCGGAGTTTGGCCGAGGTCTGGAAGACATCAGAGACTGAGGAATGTAAGCTGTATCCTCCGCTCGACCAGTGTCACCAATTTTTGCTCGTCGCTTAAGCCACAGGCTTAACGCGTGCTTGGGACGGATCATCGCAACGGGTCTGCTGAGCTGAACTGGAGAAGTTCAAGTTGCTCGCAGGCTCAGTCCAGAGTTTGCCCACGACCAAAGCCTCTGGAACAAGACCACTCACGTGAACACTATCCGGCACTTGTGCGCTTTGGTGGTCGGCTGGCTGCTTTTTAGTTCTCAGGATGTGCAGCAAGGCTAATTTTAGGAGTGGCTTTTCAAAGATTGTGCCGCCCCCCCCAGACTTGGTTTCGGCGAAAGTCTGGACCAGCCCTCTTACCTGAGATCCAAGTTAAGCTTTAACGAGAGGAGGTTCTGCAGAACCTCCAGCGAAAAAAGACACACACGCACACATACACACGAAGAAAGCAAAATACACGCGTCCCATGCAATGTTGTGCAACGCAAACAAGCACACTTCTAAGCACGGGGTTCGCGATGCGACACACTGTCCCTTTCTGGCAACTAATCAGGTTGTCTGCTGTTGCATTCGTTTCCGAAACCCCGTGTGCAAACCTCTCTGCTCTCCTACCTTGCTGGATAAGTAAACTTTCATTTGGAAGACCAGGCTGCTGTTGCTATTTTGATACCATCTAGATCTGTTGCCCACTGCGAGGTGGACGGAACTCTTTGGAGACCGGTGCCCGGCAGGCGGGCTGGGATGGGACACGGGACGCGAGTTCGTGGATCTTCGCGGCATTTCGGTGTGAACTGCGACTCTCGCCGTGCTTGTTTGGTCCATCGCCAGGCGGCGGCCGCAGCTTTTGCAAGCGGAAGGATGATGTGGGCATGCCATCGCCAAGGGACCCAAGGCCCGGGCCCCTCGAGGCCGGCGTCCGCCAGGCGGATGCGGACAGTCAAAGCAGGCTTGGCCGGGTGGCATGTGTCTGCGCAGACCGAACTGAACACCCCCCGAAAGAAATACACGATTTCTATTTCCTGCCTATCTCACAGTGCTGATCGAATTCTCGCCTCATCTTGTCTGCTTACTGCCGTTGCTGGCGTTAACTGTCGCCCCAGGCCGTCGCGGGCTTCTGAGCAGCTTCTCTGCTTCGATGCGGCAATCTCGTCTTGCAGCCGTTCTAGCCAGTGGCAGCACGCACTTAAGTTGGTCGAGGATATGCAGGAGGATGGTTTGGCACCTGACGCGGGAATCTGGGACAAGCTGCTAGATGCCATGGTGATGTCGGGCGAGATGGCAGCAGCCGTGGCACTGCACAGAGAGAATGCCGTGCTTGGTTTGACTGCTGAGTCCCGAGGACTCGACTTGCATGGCAAGACCGTCGAGCTCGCAAAGCTCGCCGTGCGCGTGGCTTTGTTGGATGTGGCGCTGAGCGCTTCCGGCGCTTCCGCTCGCCATGCGGAGCGAGCGGAGCGCCGCAAGCTGGGTCTCAGAGCCGATGGGAGCTTGTCGCTGATTGTAGGTCTTGGGCGCCAGTCCAAAGGCGAGGCGCTCCTTGGCCCAGCTTTGTGGCAAATGTTAAGTCAAGAGCTCGCAGTTCAAAGCCATCTCGACCCCCAGAACGAGGGATGCTTGCTTATTCCCAGTCATGAGCTCAAGTCTTTTGCGGGAGGAGTGGCGAGAGTATCGCAAGAATCAAAAGGATTCATGACGTAATTGTAACTATTGCAATCACTGGCATGTGCCGTGCATTCGGGCATTTGATTGATTGATTGATCGATCGATTGATTGAGTGATTGCCTGATATTGCCTGCACGCAGCCGTGGCAAACTCAAGCCGCTGCACCAATTTCGTCTGCTTGGCCAGCGCTTGACTTTGAGCGCGGAGCTCGTGCTTTGAAAGCTGAGGTCGCAGACTTGGCCGAGCAAACGTGCAGTCTGTGCGCTTTGTCCAAAGGCCATGCTGTCTCGGGGCCTCTTGCGCAGTGCCTGCCGCACGGATCCCAGAAAACGTGCAGCCACAGCAAAAGCACGCAGAGAGCTTCTCCAACCTATGGTCGTGGCTGAAAGAGAAATGCTCGAGGCGTGGCGAACCTGGGAGAAGCAAAGGCCGTGCAGCGGTGAACTCAGAAAGTTCACAGCGTTTTCCGCTCCGACTGGTTGGCCTCAGCCGAAGAGGCCGCGCCAATGGATGCCTGCCATGGTCAGAGCCCCAAGATTTTCCGAGCTTCCAGCTGCCGTATCTGTTCTTTTCGAACTTCCGAGCTGAGAGCGTTCCGCAGACCCGGAGGCGTACCGCCGCTTTGGATCCGGAGGTGATCCCCGAGCACATCTCAACCCAGATGGCACTAGGCCGGCTGAGATGTGCTGACCCAGAGTGGTCCGCGCCCATGTCATGTCACACGTGCAAGGCCAGAAGAGGAGGATGCCGAGGCGGGTTCTCGAGCCGGAAAGCTATACTGTAGGGTATCTTTCTCGTCAGTGTTCTTTATCTTTTCTGGTCGTGTGTATGTAGCTTACCATTCGCAGAAATTGGCCAGCTTGTCTAGCAATGTTCAGGTCCGGGGTGCGGGGCTCTTCCACCGCGGGAGATTCAACGCATTATGGCGGTATGGTGGGAAGGGGACACGAAAGTAATGTCGTGAAGCTGTGTTGCGGTTCGCATGCGCAAGCGAAGGATAGCTAGTTCAGGGCACCAGAAAGCAAGAGCTGAGCGAGATGAACACAGAAATTCCGTCCAGTGCGAAAGCATTCCATGAATCAGATAGTGGCTGCGATGCCGTATGCAGGACTACCACGACCCAGACCCGACGGAGCATTTCCCTCGGATGAAGCTTGTGAAGGACTGCTGTTCCCATGAGAACGTTTGAGAATGTTTCGAGACTCTTTCGGGAACGGACACTTCGCCCAGGAGCGCGGCCAGAACTGGGCAGGGGGCTTGGTGCACTCAGACTCTCCTGTGTGTGGCCCGCTGTTTGTGCTGGCTGTTTCGCCGAGGTGGTCTCCCAAGATCCGCCCAAGCAAATCTCAGAGCTGTACTTCACACACCAGGCACCTTCAGCTTGCAAGTGCACAAGGATGCGTTGGTCTATCCCGACTTGTGGGCAGGAGCATGTGCCATTCTATCCGCGCCAGCGCATCTTGATCTGGACCAACTACAAACTCCTGATGAAGGCATGCTGGGCCTTGGGCCTCAAGTCTTAGTGACCCTGGTAACCTTCGCCTGCGGTACTTGGAAGATGCAGGCTGAATACCTGTTCTTCTACATCCCCACCATCATCATCCTGGGGCTTTGTATTCCTGCCGGGGCCCAGATGCGAGGGTTTCAAGGATCACTTTTTGCGCCTTCTTGTGCAGTTGAAGAGGGTCCCAGGTTATGGCGGAGCTTCGTTGTTTCAGCCGGCGAAATCAAATTTAAATCGCAGCAAATGTCGACCCGACCCTTCAGCCTTGCACCAGCTTAATGGCATAGCGTCCTTGTTCGCTAGGTGAAAAATTTGGACCTGCACGACCACATACCGTGTCACAAGCAGACTGCGTGTAAAGTGCTAATTTCCAAAGGCGCGGACCAATCGAGCCACTGCCCCCAAACTGGGAAGCTCGTACGACCTTCACGAAGGTTTAGTTTCCTCCCAAAGAATGCCAAAGAAGTGAGCGTCACGTCAAGCTTCCAAAGTGTCTACACGAACGACCCTGCTCAAGCTTGTTCTAGTATCGTTGGCCGCGCGACGACGCGCAACAATCATGCTCCTGGAGTAGTAAGTAAGTCATTGCATCTTTTGCACCTGGAACAATGTTCCTGCAGTGTCATCCAAACCTTGGGCTTACTGTAACACCTCAACAGTTAGGGGTTCCATGGTTTGCAAGTCCACAACACATAGGTGCAGACGGGAGCAGGCATGGGTGTTGGACCCTCCTGCGCCCCTTCTTCGGCTTGTTGCAAGCCGGGCGAGGAACCTGGTGTCGTGGAACAGGTGGAGGCGGAAGCAAAGCTTGGGCAACTTGAGCAACTCCCTGTCATAAAGGATGGCGATGTCGCTGCGGTTGATACTGAGACTGGCGGACTTGATCGAAGCTGCACATATTCCACCTTGATGGAAATCCCGGACTTGCCCACCCGAGGAAGTTCAGGGGCGACAATCGGGATGAGCAAGACGGAGCGCCACACATTGGGGAGGTATTCCCACATCGACATGGGAGTGGCACGTGGCATGTCCTTGCGAAAATCGCTTGAGGGCTTCGGTCGCCTCTGGAGATACAACCCTGCTACATGGGCAGACGAAGACCGCATGAGCCTGTACAACATGTCCACAAAGGTGACGCATTTTCAGACATTCGTTTCTCACACTTGGCGAAGCCCTGGAAGATGGAAAGTCCTGTCCCTGTCCCTCCAATGCGGCTGGCATTACGGACTTGCCTCCTGGCTTTTCGCAGCAACACTGTGCACCACTCTTTGCCTGGCGGATGTTCTGCCAATGCCGCTGACATACCGGGCGAACATCATGGGCTTCGTCGACGTGTGTCCGATGGGCCTCTGGATCATGACTTGCAGCTGTCTGGCGATGGGGCTTGGGCTGATGTCTACCCCGCTTTGGCCAGACAGGCACGAGGGCCAGGGTAGGTAGGCGAGGGTCTTGCTCCGTCATGGAAGATGATTCAGGATGAGCGAAGCGCGCTTGTCGAGTTGTTTCTTTGACTGGCTTGTAGCCTTCGGGGTGTTGTGACCCCTCGCTTTGTTTACAAGGTGTGGCCGCAGCACGGACACTTGCTTCATTGATGTGGCGAGCATTCACCAGGTAAACCGTCACAGCGACCAAGTCTTTATTTTCTCTAGTACTTCATTTTCTGTAGTAGGCCCCGATTCTCTTGCGCACTGATCGACAACTGACAACCTCACTAGTCACCGAAGGTGGACAAGACTTTGATGGAGCGCGGTGTGTTTGGAATTGCAGGATTCCTGAGCATTTCGTCTGAGATGCGAATTCTCTGGAGCTCGCCGTACTTCTCTCGTGTCTCGGTGGATCTTCCCTTCGCACTGATCTGGGTAGTCCTGTTAATGTGGCCACTGCAAGCGAGAGCGTGTGGATGTTGCCAACGATTTAGGGTAGTCACGTAGTCGGGGCTTTGCTTCGGCAATTGTCACTCCGTGACGCAGTCCGGGTTCTCCTAGCGTTCTTTTGCTGCGGCGAGCGCAGTAGTCCCGGCTTGTTGGCTTGTTACGGCCAAGAGGCTGCCATGAAAGCTTTCATGCACTCTGTAGAACACAGTAGACGTCGCCTGCCTGATTTGCTTGTGATCTGACCACACTAACCTGCCAAAAGTCACCAACCGTCTAACCCGGTTTCACGAATTGGAGTCCATCATTCAGGAAAACGTACGGTTCACAATTGCTCGACATGTATGTTGTACGAGCAGACAGTGAGCCGGCGATGGTTATGGGTGTGTAGAGCGGTGCACCTCCCGAAATGCGTGAACCTTTCATGACAGCCGCGGCGCATCATCAATCTCTCTGCGACTTGTGGTGTGGTGCCTTCGTCGGGCTTCAAAACGAAAACGGACTAAACATTTGTGTCTGGTTGCATAACCTAAACGAGGCCCCACAGTCTGTTTGTTCAACGTAGAGGGCATACGTTACCCAGCAGCAACTTTGGCTCACTGAGGTCTTTGGTGCGTTTTCGAGCTTGCGGCATACAAAAAAGTGAATCCGGACGGAAGGATTACCTTTAGGCCGCTGTTTATCGAGCAGGCTGTGTTGGCAATGATGTTATGCTCGTATTTGTTCTCCTTTCTCTGCTTGTTTACGCGGGATGTCTTCTACGACAATGTGATCGTGCTGCTCTTGATTTTCGCTGTGGCCTGGCCCGTGGCTATCTACGTTTTGAGAATGAATTTTCGACAGAAGCATCAGCTTCTGTACCAGCTTGACAACTTCGACCTGGATACCGTGAAGTGTTCGCAGCAATTTGATAGCTCCGCGGCAGCACATAGGACATCCAGCAGACATTTGCTGTAGGCTGTAGCCTTTGTGCTTGTGTAAACCGGCCTTGTCAAGCACGCCTGGCCCAGCTGGCCTGATTGGATTCCAGGAGATTTCATCCTTGCTGCCATCGAGAAGTGGTACGGGAGCAAACAGGCTTTCGTCGACTTTGTGCGTCAGGACTTGAAATATGAGCTTGAGAAGTCGCTTTCTCGCACGCGGCTTCCGAACCAATACCTCCTCCTGCTGCTCACACCGGTCCTCAGCCTGAGCGCTGAGTTCTTTCTGGCAGCCTGGAAGGGTGGCGCTCCTTCCGATGCTTTGCTCTCCTTTGCTGTTGGGATTCTCCTGGGTTTTGACGTTTTCTTTATTTGGGCATCCAACTTGCTCATGATCTACCTTTGCGACGTCTTGGCTCCTCGCCGCTCCGGCCACCTGGACCATCTGCAGACCCTTTTTATCATGGTTCTAATCGTCACGACCCTTTATGTCGGATCTGTAGTGTCCGCACGGGCATACCAACACAGCCTCGCTGGCGCCTTGATTTTCCTTGGGGTCTCGGTGCTCTTAGCTGCTTGCATGAGCTGGTTGGAGGGACGGTCAGTTGCCAGCCTCCTACGTTACTGCCGGCGTGCCTGCAGTCATGCAGAGGTGGAGTTCGGTCCTGAACAATAGTATCAAGTGCCAGCCTCTGTTTCTCACACGTCTTCAGCTTGCCTGTTCAAGGCTCCACGCAGCCTCCCAACGCACACTGCAAACGCAGATTCGTGCTCGGGAGCTTGTGATGCTCATATCAGCACCAAAAGAGCTCGAATCAGGTTACTCTCGATGGCCTAGGTGGATCATGAGATCATAGAGGGGCTGAGGAGAGGTGTATTGCTTCGATACAGTGCCGATAAAATCTTAGACAGGCATCTGAGGAGAGCTGAAGGCGAAGGGAAGCGTGCGTCCGATGCTCGAGGCGTTCACCACGATCTACGCGTTGGAAGAGGCTGTGGCTTCGACCATGACCGTGAAGGCCTGAACCCCTGCGGAATCGCAGTGGCACGATGGTGTTGACACATGTTGACACACGAAGAGCCTTGAGAGCATGCTCCAGAATCCCGGGAAGACATGCAGCGACCGAAACTTGTTTGCTGATCCAGTCCAAGCCAAATCCTCAACGAAGCATGCCACCTCTTCGCGGATCAGCTGAGATGCTCTTCAGCTGAGCACTTGCTTTGCGAATTCCGAGAAACGCACCTGTGCCATAGCAGTAATGTCGTGATCTTTGATTATCGTCAACGGCGAAGTGCGGTGTGTCACAACAGGTCGTCGGCAGGCAGTGGTACTGGGTCTACGAAGTGGAGTCCCCGACTGATGACGGCAACTCAGCAGAACCAGGAGGAGTGTTGGACTGAGGGCTTCACGTCGACGAGCATGTGAAACGAATACCGTTGAGAGGTGACGACGACGATGAGTGAAGGACAGCATGCGGACAGCTGTCACCCCATGTTTGCTGATGCCTGAGTCTAGCTGTTCACTTACCTGCACAAGACGCACGTAGAGACGCGCCTCGGACCAAGGGATTGCCTTTCTTGAAGAGATCTTGCAGTTAATCTTCCCAACTTATGATAGAAACGTTGCAAACACCAAGAATCTGTTTGCAGCATTAAGCAGATCCACATCTCTGGGAATCATGGATGGCATGGAGACATTGACCAGATAAGCTTTGAACGACTTTTTGGTACTCGCAGATTTTAGGAGTCCGGAACGATGCGCAACAAGAAAAATCTTGTGTGCAAGTGCTGTGAGTGTTGCATCCAGCATGACCACATCTTTGTTGGGAAACTGGGGGGTTGCCCACATGATCTTGTTCCGGCTCTCAGCCATGAGCAGATATGAGCAGAACATCAGCCGTCACATGACCATACAGCGACCTCAGCCATTTCAGGGAAAGTTCTTGACTGCAGTGCCAAAAAGCAGGAAGTAGATAAGTAGATAAGGTGACTCGTTACGCGAAGGTCGACAGCTCCGGCGGCTGGCAAAGAGCCTTGTAGTCGCCATGGGGGCATGCTGCAGCCATGCGCTGCCAGCAGATGAGTACTGCACCGCCAAGGTGGACGACCGATACTAGTGGTGTTGTTAGATTCGGGCTGGAAGTTTGAGCTTCAAACTCGCGGGATTCGGGGCCTCTTCGACATTGTTCAGAACTGGGAGGTGGTTCACAGCATGTGCATGCCTTGCCGTCAGTCTCTTGCCCAGTGCCTGCTCTCAGGAGTTCGGTAACCGGCCCTGCATGCCATGCGACCCAGAGGTGTCCACTCGAGAGCGGACAGGCTGGGGTCTTGAGGGAGCTCCGCTCAGTTCTTGTTGCATCGTCAAGGCCTGGAGGTGTTGGATGGCCAGCTCGAAACTAACATACCGGACATCCCGGACCTCCACTTCAACGAAGGCGTCCCTGCTCTTCCTCCCACTCCTTCGAGCCCGTCGGGCGGAGGCTCCAAG